GTGTAGTTATTTGTTTCAGTTATAGTAGTGTCAGTTTGAGTCAGTTTGTTAATTCACTTGTTATTTATTTCAGCTTTTATTTACTTTATTTATTATGTAAGTACTAAGGGCAGATGTGTCCTTTCCATTATGTACTAAACATAACCTATAAGTAATAAGAGAGTGGCGGCGGCAGATCTGTTAGAATCTGTCCCTCCTTTCAACCACTTGTGTTCTCCTGTTTCTCTTCTATTCTCTCTCCTTTCTCTCACTTTTCTTCTGTTCTATAAACCTAAAACCTATTAGGATTCAAGACTGATTACAGTCTTGATCTTCTACTGTAACTATTTAGTTTGAGTTGCCGCCCTACTAAGGGCATCTTTGTAATATCTCATATTTAAGTTAAATATAAATAGAATGAGGGGCTGGCGGCTAGAGTTATGATACACAATCCTAGTTGACCTTCTTCTCCTTTCCTTCCTCTTTCTCTTCCTATTGCTGAAATCTACAACTTTCCCCTCTTCCTTTCACAAGAAGCTTGACCGAATCAGCAGATAGTGGTTTCTACTTGGTATCAGAGCAGGTTGAAGTTTCTGGAAGTGATTCTCTCATGCAGCCCTAGATCGGCCGATTGCATGGAGATTTATGAGGTTGATCGAAGCTCTCAGGTAAGCCCGGTTTTTGGATTTTCTTGATGGATCTGTATGCCCTGTAGCTGGTCTAGGTTTTCTTGGAGTTTTGTTTTTGTTGATGGATCTGGAGAAAGGGGAAGAGTCTTGTTTTTGTTGAACTCTTCAATTTTGACCTAGGTAGTGGCGCCCTATTTTTTTAGGGTTCCTTGGAGTTTTTTACAGGGGGCGATTCAAGTCCCACGTGGTTTGGAGGCTCCTAGAGAGGGCAGTTGCTTTTTCTCTCTCTTCTCTCATCCCACAGAAAAGGAATCTTTCGTGGGAAGAAAGTCCAGGACACCAAAGGAGTGTCATTGGTTCCAGAAGGTGTTTTGTTTGTTCTTGCTGCATTTTTTATTTGTTTCTRTACCCTTTTGAAGAAGCATGGAGGGACACAGAGTTGAATATAAGCTCGGGAATGAAATGGGACTTGTGAGAGGAGGTGCTGGAAACCCCTTCAGAGCTGGAACCATTACTACAGTTAGGTTGGATGGTACAAACTACTTGGAATGGTCCCAATCTGCAAAGATGGCCATTGGGGCTCRTGRAAAATTGGGRTATATTRCTGGTGAAGAGGTGAAACCTGAAACTGGCAACTCCCGGTGGGTGTAGGAAAATTATATTGGTAATGACATGGTTGTGTAATTCCATGTTGCCACATATAAGTAAAATTTTTTTATGGGCAAATACTACTATGGAGATATGGGATGGGGTTGCAGAAACCTATTCACAAAGGGAGAATGTTGCTAGGGCTTATCAACTGAGGAATCAGATTATTGCTACAAGGCAAGGAGATAGATCTGTTGYAGCCTATTTTTCAGTCCTTAAGACCCTGTGGCAGGAGATCGACCATCTAGAGACTTTTGCTTGGGAAACCACCAAGGATGCAGCTACCTATCAAAGACACTTAGTGAAGTATAGGGTGTTCGAATTCCTTGCTGGCCTTAACCCTGAGTATGACAYTGCACRACAGCATCTTCTTTCYAGGGACARTGTCACTCTCTCCCAAGCATATGCCTTTGTGTCAGGAGAGGAGTGCAGGAGGGATGTAATGATGAAGAATCTCATTTCTGATCAATCCGCTATAGTAAGTGTTGTGAAATCTAAACAAAATGGCAATGAAAACAAGAAAGAAGACAAAAGGGACTTGGTCTGTGACTACTGTAAGAAGCCTAAGCATACAAGAGATACTTGTTGGAAGCTTCACCCACATCTTGTGCCGACCAGATTGAAGAATAAGAAAGGAAATGCGCACATGGCAGTTACTGGTGACACTCCGGCCCCCCTACTACAGCTGCTTTGGAGTCCGTTGCAGTAAGGGCCGAGCTTGAGAGGTTTGGGTTACTTCTGAATTAGAGGGATACAGCTAGTTCTAGTTCAGCCGCAAGCGGACAACAAGGTACAGGTAGCACAGGTGGAGCTCACTCTACCTCCTTTGCCCACACAGGTAGTTCACATGTCACTGACCCATTGCTCCACTATTTTCTCCTCTTACCAGCTCTGTTCTGGCAGAGATAGGGTCTCCACAGCTGATAGATCCCATGTTCCTATTGCTGGAAAGGGATCTGTCAAGATTAATGATTCCATTTGTTTACCCTCTGTCCTCCATGTTCCTAAATTGAGCACCAATTTATTATCTGTTAGTAGTTTGACTAAGAATTTGAACTGCTCAGTAATTTTTTCTCCTGGACGCTGTATTTTGCAAGATCTTGATTCAAAGAGGACGATTGGGAATGGTCGTGAAGTAAATGGAATCTACCTCCTAGATGCTCTCCCTCTTCACCAAAGTAATCATGTTTGCAGGGACAGTGAGTCAAAATCTGTGGATCAGATTATGCTTTGGCATAATCGTYTRGGTCATTTGTYYTTTTCTTCTTTGAGTTCTTTGTTTCCAAAACTGTTTGAGTCTGTGAGCCTGTCAAGTTTGAAGTGTGAAGGTTGTGAACTTGGAAAACATTGTAGACACTTTTTTAAACCTAGTAATAAAAGATGTTCTTCTCCTTTTGATGTTATTCATTCGGATGTGTGGGGCCCTTATCATGTTCCCTCAATGGGCGGTTATCGCTATTTTCTCCTATTTGTGGATGATTTCTCTCGATATTCCTGGATTTACCTGATGAAATCCCGCGATGAAGTACCATCCTTGGTGAGGCAATTCCACCAGATGGTACTAACACAGTTTGGAACGAGAATAAAGATGTTCAGATCTGACAATGCTAGGGAATATTTTGAGAGACATCTTGCCTCATATCTGTTGGAGTATGGTGTTGTCCATCAGAGTAGTTGCTCCTATAGTCCACAGCAGAATGGTGTTAAATATAAATAGAATATCTCATATTTAAGTTTGAGTTTGAGTTGCCGCCCTACTAAGGGCATCTTTGTAATATCTCATATTTAAGTTAAATATAAATAGAATGAGGGGTTGGTGGCTAGGGTTATGATACACAATCCTAGTTGACCTTCTTCTCCTTTCCTTCCTCTTTCTCTTCCTATTGCTGAAATCTACAACTTTCCCCTTTTCCATTCACAAGAAGCTTGACCGAATCAGCAGATAGTGGTTTCTACTAAGGACTCAAAAGTGTGCATTGCAAATGAACTCTTCTTTCTTTTAAATTTAATGCTTTTGGACCAATCTTGTCTTGATAGTAGAATTTGGTCAGAATCCTCTTTGGGTTATCTCTTGCCCCTCTTTCTTTAATGCCTTGTTGTAGCCAACCAACTTGCTTATCTATTTTCCTATTAAATAAGTGCGGTGTGTTCCTATACCTCCTAACATTAGGGCTTTTTGTTGGGAAGTGATCCTCCGAAAAATCAATACTTTGGATGTGCTTCAAAAAATGAGGCCAAACCGTTGCTTATCCCCACATGTCTGTAGTCTTTGTATGGCTAGTGGAGAGACGATGAACCATCTATTAATATCTTGTTCTTTTGTTACTCATATTTGGAATTGGTTTTCATCTCTTTGGTTACAGGTGGACTCCTCCATCGAGTGTGGTGCACCTTTTTGACTCGAGCTTCTTCCAACAACCAAAGAAATGGGGTAGTGTGATGTGGAGAACAACGAGAACATCTATTATTTGGGCAATCTGGGAAGAGAGGAACATTAGGACCTTCCAAGGGCAAGGAAAATCAAAGGATGAATTGGTAGAAGAAATAATCATCAAGGTCTTACATTCACTGAAAACATTGGATCTGTTCAAGGCTTTTACAGTAGATGACTTGTTTAGAGGATGGGGTATGGGAGAGGGCTCCTCTTCCTCAGCTCCTACTATTCATGAAAGATGGTCCCCTCCTCAACAAAAGAGGGTAAAGCTAAACTTTGGTGGCAGTTCTGTAGGTAACCCTAGTCCCTCAGGAGTTGGGGATGTTCTCAGAGATATGGAAGGAAGAATCTTGTCCTTATTCTCTAGACAAATTGTAATTGGTGACTCGGGGAAGAATTAATGGCACTACTGCAAGGACTCAGATTGGCTAAACAGATGGGTTTTCAGCATTTAGAAGTGGAAGGGAGATTCAAAGTTGGTAATAGGCTGGATGCAGACAAATAGCTTAGGCACTTGGTCCCTTAGATAAGTTGTAAGGGAAATTTTGAACCTAACATGGGAGATTAGATACAATTCAAATGGGCTAGCTAGAAGGTCAGTGAACACCTTGGCTGATGCTTTGGGAAAGCAAGGGGGTACTAGGGAAACTCTTTTATGGGCATGTTTGTAAGTCTGCTATGAATTGAGAGATCACCTTCTTTGGAAGGTAATAGTTGTACCAATGTTCCTTAAGTTAATGAAAGTTACCACTTCATATATATACATAACATGGAATAAAGATTTTTTTATGAAATCTCAGAAACATTCCTCACCTCTAAAATTTTGAGCGCCCGCACCAATGAAGTCCATGGCTCGACTATTCATGGTCCCAAACTTCACATCCTTGCAAGAGTTATACAACTCTTCACCAAAATTATCAGTCACATAAAAATCAATGCCATCCACAGTCAAATTGTTGTTAACCTAACAAAAAAGTGACCAAGTAACATTATTTTCATGAAGTTCAATACCCTAATCAAATCATTGTTAATTTGAAAAATATTTATGAATACATCATATAGACATGTAAAGCAACAATTGCACTGCAAAGGAAAAAAGAAGATAAATTGCTATTGAGAATAACACATCAAAATTATCAGTTCAGAAAAAAGTGCATGAAAACATTTTAATTAAGAAGAAAATAAAGCACAAACATGTCAAGGAACTCCATTCTTTTTCTCGAACTTGTAATCAATAATTTGAGATTTGACACAAAGTCTTCACACAACACCTCCTTCCATAATCTGATGCAATCACCTTTACCAATTTCAAAAGCAACAAACTTCCTGAAGATCAACTTTCATTATGCCCTTCCTTAGTTGTGTTAGCCCATAAAAAGTTATTGCTTATATGGGGTAACATAGAATTGCACAGCCAGATCATCACCATGTAACTTGCCTGTACACACCAGGAAGAGTTAGTTTCAGGCTTCTTCTCTTCACCAGTGACATACCCCAATTATCCACAAGCACCAATAGCCATTTTTGCTGCTTGGGACCACTCCAAGTAGTTTGTACCATCCAACTTAACTGCACTTATGGTTCTTGCCCCAAAAGGGTCACTAGCACCTCCTCCACCTAGTGGACTTGTATCCAACTTCATTATCCTCCATAATTCCCAAAATAGCTTAGGAAATCAATTGTAGATGACGGAAAATAGATTTACCCCCTTTAGAGGCCTTAACCACCCTTCTAGTGCATAGAAACCTTCGCCCACAAAGATTCCTTTCTTCATGGGAGTAGGTAGAAACAGGAGAAAAGGCTTATGCTCCCTCCAAAGACCTCAAAAAACTCCAAGATTTGAACCACCCTCCTCAAAAATCACTAAGAAATCCAAAAAATCTAAAGCACCCCTTCCTAAGTCAAAAATCAAAATTGAAGAGTCCTGCAATCATGACTCTTCAAAATTAGGTTTCTTGTCTTAGCAGCTTGAAAGAGAACTGCTTTCCTTTTGCTTTCATTCTTAAAAAGCTTAAGCTTTCATCAATCTTTGAAGTACGTATATTTTAGTTTCCAGCTATATGATACAATGAGTTTCCATTACATCATATCCTTCTATATGGTGTCACTGAAAGTAACCACATGGATATTGAAGTGATTTTGCGAATACAGAAGATAAATATGTGCAATGCAATGAACCTATTACCACCAGAGACCAAACAAGTTTAGAATTTCTGATCAGTTCATCACTCCAAGAAACCTACAAATCTTGAATTATTACCAAAGGAAGCCAAGATACTCCCGAGTCTAGACGTCAACTTCACACCCCAAAATATTACAAGATCATCAGCATAGTAGCATCAACATCCAACCATCCAGTCTGATATTACCAAATCTAACCTTGAAGAAAACTCAACAGTTTCCTCCTCTAAATCCCTAACCAGATTTAACTACCATCCTTCTTAACCAACCAAAAGGGCCAATAAAAAGGGAGAGAACTTAGTTAAAATTTACAGCATAAGAGTAACATCACATTAGATTAGAACAAAATATGTAGCACTAATGGGAATTCCTGACCTTGGTAACAGATGTTACATTGATGAATAAGCTCTGATTAGGTGAGCAAGTAAGCTCACAAAAGAGGTTCAAAAAGTTCCTCAAGCATGCAGGGCAACCTACAAGAAAAGGAATTGCCTGCAACAATTACATAAAATTAAGGGATAAATATAGAGAACCATTCTGGGAAACCACATTGTTGATCAAACTAGAATAACAAAGTAGTCTGTCTACACTAAATAGGAAAAACTACCTAGCCAGTAATTATGCAGAAAGATCTAAGGTTAATAAAATGAATTACTCAAAGATAAAACAACTGAGTAACAATTTAAAAGTAATTAAGAGCATAGCCTACAATAGTATGTCTCTCTCTTTGCATCTTATTATTAAACCCACATGCTTCCACCAAGGTTTACAATTTCCTTGGAATTCTATAAAAGTCCCCATGAGATATCTTTTGAAGTAGAATGGCTTATTATTGCTGCATCATTGGGTTTAGAAACTCTAAAATGGAGTCACTTACTAATGGTACACAAGCGTGTATTTATTTATGTATACAACCAAGCATAGATTCAAGAACCAAAAGTAGTAGATACAATGCCTGATAGAAGTGTTAAAATCATCCAAAATGATACTTAAGAATTACATATTAGCATGGAAGAAAGAAACAAAAAGAAAGCACCAAAAACATTAATCCACAACAGGACATTGTTAACCTACAACAGTTGAAAAAAAAAATCAGAACAAACACTATTAAAAGTCACTTTCTTATTGGTCACTATTAAAAGAAACTTAATGAAAAAAACTTACTTGTTGGACTTGTGCCCGCAATGTATCAAACTGAACTTCCGTACAACAAACATTGCCAGTGATTGTTGGGCACAAGCTTTGGATCTTTGAAGAAAGTAGTTCATCAGGCTGGACATAGACAAAAATGAATGGACTATCTGAGAACAACAATAATTTACAATACAATACAAGTAAAAGTAGGGTTCTAATTGGATCAGATATCAATCAAATTCGAATCCGATACATTTACGATGGATTCAGATATCTATTTGGAGTTAAACAAATGAAATCAGATTGGAATATCCGATCCATTAAGTTACCAGATCAAATCCATATAATATATATTACCTTTTTCCTATTACCTAACCTAATTGACAACTAACTAGTGATTTAAAAGGCACGCCTCATAGGTGAGGTGCATTTAGGGTAGGTGCCTTGCCAAGGTCCTAGGCACAGCACTTTCAAAGGCGTGCGCCTTTTGAAAATTTTATGCTTTTTTGGTTTTTTGAACCTAGCAGCTGGGCTGGGGGCTCCGCTCCCAAACTCCCAGACCGTGCCCCTCGAGGCAAACCCAAATAAGTCCATGTTAGGGTCTTAATTTCTTAATTTTCACACAAAAATTAATGATTTTATAATTTTAATTGCCTTTTATGAAGCTCCAAGAACCCTCTATTTTCTAATGTTGTTCATTTATTCATCTTAATAAAATATCTTCTTAAAAGGCAAATAAAATTATAAAATCATTATTTTTAATTAAGAATTTAAGACCCTAACATGGCCTTGTTTGGGCTTGCCTTGAGGGGCATGGCACAAAGGCGGCTCGTAGGATCAAGAATGTAATATGTTTTACATTGTGGGTTTTATATGCTTAACAATGTTTTATATGTTTGATTTTATTTTTAAATTTTCATTTGAATACGCTTTACATGTTATGTTTATGTATTTTAATTTTAGATAATAGGTTTTTTAAAACATTAATTTTAAAATTTATGCTTATATTTTTTATTAATATTATGTCTAATATTTTTTTCATTTTTTTTTGGAATTTTTTTCAATTTTCTGACATTTTTTATCTTTTAGCTTTTTTAATAATTTGCGCCTTGCGCTTTTAAAACACCGCAACTGACCACTGACCACCTAGTCAAATAACTGTCACTACCTTGCCCCGTTGACTAACACTCATCTATTGCCCAAAACATAATAGCAAAACTCTCATGGCTCATCATACATCAGAGGAGTTGTCATTAAGAGAGGAACACCACCAGATGATGCAGGACATAGTGTAGGCTGCACCACTAGTCCACAACAGATTACAAGGTACCTTACTTCCTCTCCTGTCATGCATTCTCTGCTTCCATTTTCAAATCTCCAAACATTGGACACCAACACCGAGTTCCCAACACAGGACTTACAACCAAACAAGTATGTTAACTGTGACATTTTCAGTTCTAAGATTGTTCTACTTTTTTATGAATCTGATTGTTTTGCCATTTTTATTGAATAGGAGTTTGTCAAATGTAAACATTCATCTTTGTTCCTTGATGATCAAGTCAAATGGGTTTTTTAATTGAATATTGAATTATTTAATCGAATCAAATTCATCGGATTTTAATTGAATTAAATTATCCCATAATTCTTATTGAACCGAATTCAGATTACCCCTATCTGAATTTGATTCAATCCGTTTGCAGTGCTAAAAATAAAATCTGATACATTCAGAAAAGAACAAACATAAATCCACAAATTGGACTTCATACTGAAACCACTTTCTCGTTGTTTTAGAAATAAATTTGAAAATAAGAAACAAACGCACCTTAACATGTCAAATCTGTACAGAAAAATAAGGAATTCTGCTAACAAATACCTTCACAGAAGGGGAGCCATAAGGGCAGTTCAAGACCTTCCCATCACTACGTTTTCCACATATATCATACATTGCACAATACTCTTCTGAATGTCTTTCCCTGAACAGAGAAGAATACCAGACCAGAGTAACTAACCACTAAATGAAATATAGAACACCAAAGCTTGAGACAATCAAGAATTAGATATAAATTTCTTTTGTTTCCTTCTTTTTTTTTTTTTTTTTTTTGAGGGGGGGAGGGGGTAGAAAAGAGTTAGATATCAATTGAGACACAATATAGAAGTCAATGGCATATAAATTTTACAAACCCCATAACGAAGGGAATCTCCAAAATAGATTACAAGGCTATTAAGTGAGACTGTGTTTTCACAATATGCATCATAAATGATTCTTTCCACTGTCATGTCAGAGGAACACTTGACACATCTTTTCAGCAGCAATTCACCATGAAGAACCGCCAATAATGACAAAAAAAAAGTATTCGGTAGCATGATGGTGGAGATTTCATAGGAAAACGAAACAATATATCAATACAAACTCATACAAGGGAAACTCCCTGGGATGAGAACATCTAAAGCTGTTTAGTTTTGCATAAATGTGTTAAGATTTTGCTTACAAAATCTGTTTATTCCCTTGCTATGTGCCTTATAATTTAACCAAACGAGTTTATGAATGATAGTAACAGCCTCACCTAAAACTGGTATTGGGCATCAAAAGAAGCCGTGCACTGGAACTCTCTGCAGTTACTAAAGATACAAATATGCTCTGCATAAATGAGACTTCACATTAGGGGACACCAATAATTCAGCAGCTCCATAAATTATGGTCATATTTTAACGGTGCATACTATACTACTTTCCTACAACCTGTAAAATGAAGCAGTACAATTTTTAGGTTCATCAAATTAGGGAGATGATATTCCATAATCTATTATAGATTATCTAGCCACGTTTCATTAATGATACAGAAAACTACAACAGTTGAAAGAAGAAGAAGTAGAAGGAGAGGATGAGGAAGTGGAAGATTAAATTTCCTGTAAAAATTAACTTTAATGAGTTGTTTTAAGTTATATATGACAAAACAACAGGACAGAATAACTACTAATTTGCATATATACTACTTAACTAAAAGCTCGATCCGATATCTCAAATTTAATTATCATCGAGCAAAAAGCATAAAGCAAATAGTGCAAACCAGCTAAAGAAACAGAATCGGTCTCAGTGTCTCACGCGCTAAGAAACAAGTTCAAATATAGGATAACTGAAGAACAAAAAAAAAATCCAAATAAAGAACTGCGAGATATCTATGGAGTTCCCAGCTGCGCTTGAGGAATCAAAAATCTTAAGCTAAGAACTTCGAATTTCTAGTCGCTGATGATCACTAAAAGGGATTTCGGGAGAAATTCCTGGTACGGAACCGAAAAGTAACGTTGAAATAGTAAGAAGAGTCATCAATCCCTTGCCTGCAATAGAAAGAAGACGATCGGGAACCCAAGAAAGAACTTCATTTTCCTCTCCGACAAATCCATAGCAACAGGAAAGCACCACAGAGGGAGAACTGGAAAAGTAGTTATTACAGAGAAAGAGAGTCAAACCCATATTTATAGTTTCGAAGAATCCTCAACGATTTGTTCACACCGAGTAACAGTAGGGCTGTAATTGGATCGGATCCAATCAAGTCTAATCGGATCGGTTATGAGGTTAGATCCAAATTCCAGTGTGTATACGAATTCGAATGAATTCGGATCGAAATCGGGTAATCGGATATTGAGTTGAGGGGGAAAATCCCTAACAGCGATGGCTTGGTGGCATGTCTCAACGTGGTATTTTGCTGGTACCGTTGTCCAAAAAATGGCGTAAATAGAGGCGGAGAATTTGGGTCATTGATAAATTTATGTATTTTTATTTTTATTTTCATTTTTGAAAATTAAAAAAAATATATAAAAGCAAATATGGGAAAAAACTTTAGCTGTTGGGGCCAAGAGTTTAGGCTGTTGATAGAATTTCTGGAAATGCCATGTTATCATAAAAATGGATAAATTAGTAATTATATCTTAATTTATTTGGACCAAAATCCAAAGCATGGGCATGAATAGGTGAACTGCCCAGAACGTGCCCAGCCCAAAAACTGTCTCAACAGCCTAGCCCCAACAGCCAAAGTTAACTTTAAATATGGTGAGCCTATTTTGGTTGGTTTAGTTTTGTATTAATAAATTTACTTTCTTATCAAACAATTTTTTATTGTAATAGATGCAAAGACAGAATCCTAGGATTGAAATATACTTTTTTTAACATTTATCAACCTTGAGTGCAAAAAGGGATGCAATATTTGCTCTTATTTTGAGTGTAAATATATCTTTAAAATTATAAAAACTATTACTTTCAATACATAAATGCATTCTTACCAAATATATATATGCACTGAACCTGCATTTGCACTCTTTCCATGTAGAGTAAATGAAAATTTGGTTAGGTTTGAATTGACAATTTTAAACTTTTATATCATCTCCTATCCAAGTCAAAGTTCATATTTAGGAATGCTTTTGGATTGCCCCTCAATCTATTACCATCATCTAATTTATGCATTACGTTATTAGAATCCATCAAATTTAGTAATTTACACCTACTTTATTAAATAGAAATGGCTAAGATATTTAAGAGGGAAGGAGGAATTTAATGAATTATCGGATATGATACAAAGTACAAACTGTGACGATTTTTATTTTGGCACATCTTTAAAAATTTGACATTGAAGATAATGAAATGGTGAATCAAGATTCATGCGACCAATCCTTATGGCTGGAATAAGGCTTAGATGATGATGATGATATTTTTAAAAATTTAATTTAAAAGTAAATAACGATATATATGAGAAATGAGAGGATGAAAATGTTGGTATGAACATTGTGATGACAATGCAGCTAAAGCCACATGATTTGGTACGAGCACCAGTATTGTGATGGATGGCAAATCTGAAAATGGTTTGGTATGAGCATGGGTACTGTGATGGGAATCCGGATTCAGTCCTTACAAAATATGTGGTCACTGTTCTCACAACACTTACAGTTGTGCATTTGAAACATCTCCCCAATGAATGAAAAGATATAAAGTACAGAGGTATTCCAAATGTACAGTTGTAAATGTTGTGAGGACTCATCCAGTAGGTATAACATTGTAAGCACATTAAATAAACACCTAATAAATATTCTTACAACCTTATCAAAAGTTGTTTTAAATCTTTTTTCAATGGTGGACTGCTCTACTAGATTAGATATTTACACATCCAAGGACCAGTCTATTACTTTAAAGAGAGATGCTTTGGTGGTTATCAAAGGAAGACAAAATTTAATTTTGGTCCAAATTCCATAATGAATATATATTTTTTACCCCAAACTTTATTCTAGGTGGAGAGGTGATAACCTAAAATTTTATTAACCATTTCAAAAGGAAAACTTGTAATAACAGGGAGGACTTAGCCCGCCTTGCCCCATAACCCAAGCATATATAGCTCTCCTTCACCATCTCAAGCCCACCCAAAGAAAAACAAAGTAAAAAAGCCTAACAAAATCTAATTAATTCTAATGATAGGCAAACTTAAATTATCTTCATGAATAAGACTAGCCAAATCTCTAGAAATTTGAGAATTATCATTGATCAACTTAAACATGCATCTTTCATCAATTCCTTTGTTAGGTAGGAGATCATCACAACAATTCACCATCTCAGGCCCATACAAAATTTCTGTTATTTTCCTTCACCCAAAATAGCTACCATGACTCAAAACAAAAAATAGCGACCATGGTGTTATTAGTCACCTACCATATTTATTGTATAGAAGTCCTGTTTCCGTGTAGAGGACGCTTGATTTATCAAAATTTTAAAACAAAGGGAGCCACTTGTAAATCCAAAGATAGATAGCGGTTCTATCTTTGGATTTGGATCAAATCGGAAACCAGTCAGATGATATATTACTTCAGAACCATTATTTCATAAAAAACCGTTGATTTGAACTGCTGATTCGGGCGGTCGAACCATCCAAACCGCTCAATAGTTTTGATTGTTTTTTATTTTTATTTTTTGCCGGAATGGACCATTCATTTGATTTGAACAATCGGACCATTCGACCCAGCAACCGGACCCCTGACTGATTTATTGTCTAATTCGATTTTAAAAACCTTGCTTTAAAGTATTTACAGGGTACGAAAAGGTAGAAAAACCTATATAATAATACAAAAATCTCATTTGTTTTCTGGTACTCAGGTAATGAGTTTCTCGTTTATATGGAAAAATATTGCCTGGGCAAGGTTGGAGCTTTATTGATTTTTCAACCAACTCTCCAAGAGAGTATTTATTACTTAAGTAACCCATATTCTGAAAATATATATTTTGTTGTGTGCTCTATCACAACGGAAGGCGAATGCGGATTTCTTTTCATTTCGGGACCCACAATTTACTTGCTCGTTTTATCGAAAATGAATGAGGTGACACCGAAAAAAATTATTAGATGAGCTACCCATTTGTACACCCATGAAGAAAAAGAAAAAAAATCTGAAACTGGCTGGTACATATGAATATTAAATACAGATAGAATTTTAAATACAAACATTAAATACAAGAATTTTGATTCAGTTATCGGTTACCACAAACCCGTTTTCACACCGTTGTTTTCTGGTCATTCATTGAAAATATCTTTATATTTGTATTTTTATATTTTTATTTATCCCGAGATATTTTTAATATATACATACAATAGGTTGTGACTGTGAATATAGCGAAATAATTTTGTGAGGATTAAATACGAATTTTAAATATAAGTATGGATATAGAGAAATAAATGAGGGATAGAAAGGAATGATATAGAGAAAAATAAATGGTGAATAGAAATAATAGTAACAATGAATTGAATGAGAAAATGGGGGACAAAAGGTTGACAGAGAGAATAAATGATGAATAGAAATATAATAACAATGAATTGAATGAAAAAATGGGAGACAAATGGTTGATATAGAGGAAATAAATGGTGAATTGAATGAAAAATGAGAGACAAAGGGATGATATTCAGAAAAATAAATGGTCAATAGAAGAACAGTCCCTCGTCCAATGAATACAAATACTCATAAAATCACTAACACCAAATCCGTTTATACTTTTGGGAGAATGATGTTCAGCCCATCCCAGAAATTTTAGCCACATCGTATAGGTGAGATGAATATTGATCATGGATTGATGTCAAATTTACAGGCAGGATGTGATTTATGGGAGACTACTAATAGATTATAAGGCATGGTTTTTAAAAACGAATAGGTCAGAGGTCCAATTACCAGTTCGAATGGTCTGGCTGTTCAACCCGAACAGCCAGCCTATTTTGACAAAAAAATAAAAAAATTGAAAAACAGTACTATTAGGGCTATAATTTCAGATTTCTGCAGTGGACTATAGTGTACTTCACTGTATACTTTCTGTTGTAACAATTTATATGACAGCAAACAATGTCGCGTGTTATTACCATCACTAATATGACAGCAAACAATGAGACAATCCCCTCGTTTTAAATTTCTTTAAAAACAGAGAAAAGAACTTTTTCGTTCATTTCTGATAATAAACACACGTTCGTCGATTTAAGAAAAAAATCACCCCAAAAATATAGTTATATTAATTAAATATGACATGACATATCATCATTTAGGTGATGTTTGGTATCCATGTTGATTCTTTCTTATTTATTTTTTATTGGCGATTTTTTAAAAAAAGGTAAATTTTATTATTTGATATCATCTGTTATGTAAACCAGTTTTTGAGAAATCAACTTTAAGTATGATTAGAAATGAGTTTCGAAGGTCGATTATTTTTGCATTGAAGTTATTGTTCAATGCCACGTCGAATGCTATGGTGATTCTCATAAATGTTGAATCAGCTGAAAATCAGGAATGTAAGAAACGTTTTTTAGTAGATTTCATGAAAATTACCAAAACCAGCCAAGCAAATGGAAATTTCAGTAGACTTTGGATCTCTTTCCCACGAGAATTTTGCCCACCTCTACCCACAACACACTATCCCCGTGAATTTGGAACATCTCCCCTTGCATAATATTATGCAGGGGATGAGATGTTTTTCATGTGTGGTTGTGATAAACGTGGAAAGAATTTGTATAGGCAGGAGATCTGAACTCATTTCCCGGTTCTTTTAGCACTAAAATGACTCTAACACTACATTGATTTTTTAGAAATCAGCGTCAATGCCAAACGTCCTTTAATTTTTATTTTTTTTCCTTTTTTTATTTTTTGTTTTTCTCCAAGGGCTACAAACTATACTATACAATGGGGTAACCCATCCCGAAAACCTATAATTAGGAATATTTTAGACCTGTTTGTTTTTCGATAAACCACTTATCCGGGTAAATGTATTTATTTGGGTAAGTATTACTAAGGTAAGTGCATTTACCCATATTCTTTTATTTCCTATGTAAATAAGGTAATGACAATCTTAATCATAAAAAATTAATTATTAAGAGAAGCATTTTTGTTCTATTCAATTTGGCAACTTTCCCCTATATG